CAACCACATGGAATCCTGTGGACATACCCTATTCGAACTTCACGTATCAGCTAGCCTCATGCTTTGCACATATGTTCCCCTCATCCCCCCGTGACTTACCAGCTCATAACTGACCATCAGACCACAGCGACTTTCTAGCTGGGTGGATCAGGTCACCCCCCAAGACTTGGAGGAAGATGCTAGAGAGACAAAAAGGCTTCTCCTTCTGATACTTAGTTTGTGGGTGGGTATTTGGTTGGTTACAAGGCAGGGATATCACAGCAGAGTATAGAGTAATATTACTGGCATACACCAGGCTGACTTAAATAGGAGAAGCACCAAGAGCCTTATTAAAAGGGAATAAGTCAACAAACAAGGGTGCCAAAATCACTTATGTGGCCTTAAGATAGACAGAACTTGCACTGTAAGTACAGGTGCTACCATCTGAGTTTACAAAGAGTGCACAGATTCACTGGACCAAGGAACAACTCCAAAATAGAAGAGAGAAACAAATTCCACTATATTTTTCATAAAAGACTACTTGGCCGGGCACTTCTGAAGCATGGGCATTGCATTTTGCAGTCCAACCAGGTTCCTGCAGGTCAGTGAGGTGAACAGGAATGGACCTCCGCAGGTGTTTTCTAAGCTGCCAGGCAAAGCTAGCTAACAACCTCTGCTGGAACTGCTCCACTTTCTGTACAGAATTTTTCATGGGTCCAAAACAGCTCATTGTCTCACACATCTCTAACAAGCAGACACAACTGACTATTCTGCTACTTGATGTGAACCCCTTCTTCTGTGGCAAACTTTCACTTGGACCAATACACCACATAAGGAAAGAATCAGAGAGTCATTCATCAACCTAATAAGTCTTAATACTGTCTGCATTTTAAGTGCTCAAGTCTCACTGTAAATTTAGCTGAAGGTCATTTAAATGTCCTCATAAATGTTCTTCATATCTTCATTTAACATTGTGGCATGCACTAACTTTCTAATCTGCTGTAATGATTTTTTTTTTAATTGCCATTTTAAAAAATACACAAAACAGTAACTCCGATACACAGCTTAAGATGTCTCTATTCAGTCTATACATCACAGAACTACAGCTATTAAAAACATCCACTAGTTCTGTCAGTCTCAGATAGACAAATTGCTTTTATACTTGCAACGTGCACTGGGTATTCCAGGTTCAATAGCTAGATTTTACTGTCTGTTATCCCATCCTGGAAAGACCGATTTATGGCAGCAGGTGGTATAAAGGTTTTCAGCTTAACCATTAGCAGGTTGTATGTTCTGCCTTCAACAGCACAATACATCAGATCCCATGTCCCTTCCTTCCCAAGTGTCTTCTATTTGTTTCTTTGCTGTCAAGAGCATAACACTACCAGTGTCAACAGTTTTCCATTATTCCAAATACCCCACGTCTTAACATTCTTTATGGATCTCCACCTATTTACACCTGCTGACATCTGTGCACAAGCTTAGAGTATCATCAGCTATTCCCCATGTTGTTTTTTGATATCACAGCATTAGTTTTCCCATATTCTTTCACATAGTTATCAAGCTTATACTCAGTACTGAGTTTTTGGCTGGGAAAGAAAAGAAGCATTTCAGACAAGCGGAGTTGGCCATGCTTTCAGGAGTATGTGATGCAGAATGGCAGGTAACTGCTTACAGTCAAGCTTTATCCACAGTTTAAAAAATTATCAGACACCTGATCAGAGAAAGTGGAGCCTTTAAGAACAAAAAGGCAGAAACAAAGCCTCCACACAACTTCTCCCCCCAAGCCTTCTCCCTCACCATCCTCAACTTCCATTTACTGCAACAGCTCTGATTGTTCAATAGCCTGAGTGCAGACAAAAAAAGAAAGTCCTTAAAATGTCCAAGCAAAACTCAGGAGCTACAGAAAAACACAGTGTGCTTGGCACGAAAGCTAGGAAATGATCTAAGAACAGACAACACTGGCTAGCATAATGCAAGGTTCACTAGATACCATTCTGAGGGGAGGGGTAACAAAAACTCCAAACAAGCACCTTTACCCTCATTAGTTGGCTGAAAAGTAAGGTATAACTACCCTTGGAGATGTCTTAATTCAGCTAATCCACTCAATGACTGCACTTCTCCCACTCCTCAGTAATCCGAAAGGAAGCACACATCTGGTCTTAAATGATGGGGATATTTAATTCTTACTTCTCTGTGGACAGACTGTGCCCGACACAACTTTAAAGTCAAACACAGCCCCTCTCCACTACCCAAAATACAATGGTCAGGCATTTGCTGAAACTAAAACACAAAATGTCGACTATTACATACATCTCATCAAAACGTATAAATACCTGATGGAACGAAGCAAGGCAAATAGAAGTAGCCTCTTCTCAGCAGTATCCAGTGACAGGATGAGAAGCAATGGGCATAAACGGAAATCTAGGAAATTCTGCTGAGGGTGGTCAAGCCATGAAAGGTTGCCCGGAGAGGTTGTAGAGTCACCAGCCTTAGAGATATCCAAAACCTGACTGGACGCCACAAAGGACTAGACTAGATGATCTCAGAAGCCTTCCAATCCCAGCTATGCTGTGATTCTGTGAACTCTGCAAGACGGGGGAAGGCAAATGCAGACAATAAGCAGAGACCCAGCTAAAGCGCATGAGCAATTAAATTACAAGGGCATAGTTCAGCTGTGGTCAAACACAAGTTTTCCCTCTTGCTACTAATTCCCTCCCTGTGCTGGTACACAACATTCCCTGCTCCCAACATGCCATTTTGCCTTTCCCCAAGTCGCACACCAATCAGCCATTCCCACATGCAAGGCGACTAGTTGCACATAGGGGAACGCTGATTAAACAACAGTTGGAACGGAGCAAGCCAAACTGTCCCAGGCTGTAAGTCAAAATCCTCAGATCAAGCAAACCTAGTGTAATGTTTCCTTATAACATTTCAGAGCTCTTTCATGTATTCACATAATAGCACAACGTACGACACAGGTGGTGATATTCCCACAGCAGGAGCTGACAGTTTTAGCACGTCCCTCTGTAAACTGTGGAGGTCCAATCAGACCACACCAGTCTCTCACATCTCCAAAACATGAACTAACCTTCCAGCTCCTGAAGGTGCTGGGTCAGGTTTTGCAGCAGCTAAGTCTATACCATAAATATATGTGGGAAAGAGAAAAGTATGCTTACAGCAGGTGGCAGCAGAAAGATGACAGAGATATGACTCAGTGTTAAGTCACTCTTCCAATGATTAACTGCACCTATATTCACACCACCTTTCAGTTTTGGTGAAATTCCATTGCTTCCAGCATCAGAAGACTTTTATTTTGCTATTTTTACAAAAAAAGTTAGTTATTAAAATTATTTTACTTATTGTGCACAGTATTTTATCCATTTGGTATTAATAATTCAATAGTCAACTACATGACGTTATGAAGAAGACAAGTCGCATGATGGAGGTTGCTTAGATGGCCTATAGAGCCTCAGAATTACCAGTTTGGTCACTGCTAATAGCTTGTTGGACGACTACCACAGGTTTTCCTGCTAAGTAGAACAGGTTCTACAGAGCAGACATTAATCTCTTTCCTTAGATTTACTCAAAGCCAAATAATAAAGGCAATTTTCACTAAAAAGACCTACTTTCAAAGCTGGGAAGATTCATGAGCAAGTCTATCCTCTTTGTGAAGAACAAGCCAAAGCCCTCTCTCTAAGTTGTAGTAGGGCCTGTATACAGGACTGTTCTATTAATACAGAAAGAAGTATTACCTATTCTTGGGCGAAGGAAAATCAGAGGGTTTGGGTTGGTTTTTTTTTTTTTTTTTTTTTACATTCTGAGCAGCAGATACAGGACAATAAAAACGCAATGCTATTTCTAACCACAGCTGTTGCCTGTCAGTATCTCACAGAACAGGACACATCCCCCAAGTACTTCAATGCATCAGCAGCAGCTACAGTGATTTTTAACCTTCAATACAGAGTTAGTCATGCAGTGTAGTCATTCTTCGGGGCACATCTGAGAGAACTGTGATATCTTCTTTACACTACTGATCTCTTAAATATTCTTGACTTGAGGACCCTGTTTCCTCACCACTCTCAGCTTTCTTTGATGAATCAGTGCAAAGCATAACTTCAGCTTAGAGCTAGTGTTATACAAAAAATGTGGTCCAGTCTTGTATTTGCATTTCCTTCTGTCTCCTTCATACAAAAATAAGTGGCAACAGACTTTAAAATCCTCCTCTCTGAAGGCAGCAGATGCTGAATCCCATCTTAAGCAGGAAACAGGGAATTATATCTTGGAGTATAGTCCAATTTTAGCTGAAGCAGTGAACATATTTACTTCTTGAAATATTCTGCTTTTTGGGAACCCTTATAAGTCAAAGCTTGTTGCTTTTACAGTTGAAAAGCTTCATACAGGATCAACTTATTTAAAAGAGACCAGCTTATTCTGCTCGAGAAGAGGTCACACTTCTACCATTATGCCTTTTTTGTGTCAATTAGTACATTAAACACAACTAAGTTTTTTTCTCTCTCTCTGAAAGCAGATGGAGAGGTACAGAGAAGC